TCACCCTTGACCCACCACCTACCTCAAACTTCTTGCCTTCTGGGGCCACCTCTGCTCTGGGCACCTCGCAGTGGAACCATTGCTGGCAGCATAGAAAGGCCTCTAGGCCTGGTGGCCAGCTCCTGGCCAGGGCCAAGGGAGAAGCAGCAAGACTTGCTCTGAAGAGTGATCCAGTCAGGGTCCAGCCACGGTCCAGCCAGGGTCCAGCCAGGGCCATTCCATCTCTGCTCTGTACTCATATTCTCCACATTCTCTGTCTAGAGGCCACAAATCAGTGATGTACCTTTGTTCACAGGGGTAGTAAATGTACACTCCCTAATGACTAGATGTGTCCAGAAATGGAATGGACTGTCCCTAAAAAGCAGATAGTGAGTTTCCTGTCAGTGGCAGATGCCCAAACAAGTTGATGACAGTCTTAGAAATAACATATTCAGACCAGATGACATTTGGACAGAAAGAGTGTGTGGGCTTTTGAATTGAAGTGAGTTTTGAGTCCAAATCATGGCTTCTACGCCCTATCAGCTGTGTGACCTTGGGCAAGCCACCTGTGCTCTCTGAGCCTCAGAGTCCTCATCTGCCTCACAGGGTTGTGAGGGAGACACAGGTGTATGCAGGTAGTGCCAGACACAGCTGGCCACTTCTCAGGAGCTGTGGTCATGAGATGACTTTTTAGGTCTCCACCCACTCCAGACGCCCTCCTTGAACTCTGACACCCTAGCTCAAGCTTCCTCATCCTTCCTGTGAGATGGAGGGTTCCCCCCAGTCCATGTCCCCTTACACCAAGGGCTTGCTTTCTTTCAGCCCAGTTCTTGTCCCTCACTGCCCCCTCTTCCTGCACTCCATCCCAGCCCCTCCTACAACCCACAGAGCTTCCTAGAGTTATGAGACCACAGACCAATGTCCCCAAAGGCCCAAATAAAAGGCAAACATGATCAGGCCTATTTGTAACCATCTTTATTTTTGGCTTCATTTGGACACAGTCAATGAAATAATTTGTTCAATGATCCCTCCCCCCAGTCTACACACACCACCCTCAATGTTCTAGGCTACCCTTTTATATATTATTAACGCTTTGCTAACATATTTAATACTTAATTTTAAATACAAGAAAAAATAATAAATTACTTCTTGGCTGAAGGCTGGCTGCTGTCAGGCAGACAGGAGTGGCTACTCTGGCCCTCTTTCCTGTCCCCTGCTTTGGATGAGGCCCAGAGGCCCCAGGACCTAGTGAGGTAGCAGAGTTTTGTGCACAGTACTTATTACCAGGGACTCCTAATGCCCACTGCTTTAGTGCTGGGGCCTGGAGTCTCCGGGCCCTCGGCCTCATGTGCCAGCAGCAACAGTCTCCTCACCCCAACACTGACAAACACACTCATTTAAATAACACACAATAATAAATAACCATGAAGGAATGTGCCTGAGCTGTTCCCTGCCTCAGATATCCCTGTGTGCAGTGGGTCCCTCTCCTGCCCGGTCTGGCGAGGGCAGCACCTGCTGTAATGCTGCAGTGTGTTCTAGGGCTGGAGAGGGTACAAGGTGCCATCTCCAACCCTTGTCCCAGAGCTCAGAGGCCTGGACAGAGGAGGCCCACCAGGCTAAGCCCTGGCACCCAGGAGGCGCAGGTGGGCTAGCCAGGCTGAAGGCAGGTGGCATAGCCTGAGGTCTAAACTAGGAAAACTTTACCCCTCCCTAACCCTTCCCCCTTCCCCGAGAAACTCCTGACATTTTAAAGCAAAATCAATCTACACATTAAATAGGGCTTGCCCCTGCAAACAATGAGGCTTGCTTTTCAGGCTTTGACATTTGCATCACGGAAACGTTTCTTTAAATGTCTGAGCAGGTCCTTTATGAACTGGGCCACTTCAATTTTGGTGTCTCGGATGTGGGAGCTGGGAACCTAATGCAGGACAAAGAGGTCAGAGAGTTAGTGGGACGTCAGAGGCAAGGACCACCAGCGTCCACCAGGGCCTTTCCAGGGACTGTCTTGTTTAATCCTCACAAAAGTCCCCATGAAGTGGGTACTGTTACTACTTAAATTTTACAGATGTAGAAACTGAAGGTCAGGTAGGAGTCAGGAGCTACTAACCCAAGGTCCTATAAATCCCAAAGGCCAGGTCCCTGATGCCACAGGGAACACACACCTCAGGTACTCAGCCAGTTCCCCCACCCCCCAGGTGAACACACACCTCAGGTACTCAGCCAGTTCCCCCCCCCCACCCCAGGTGAACACACACCTCAGGTACTCAGCCAGTCCCCCCACCCCCCCCAGGTGAACACACACCTCAGGTACTCAGCCAGTTCCCCTGGAGCTCCCAGGGTGAGCCTAGGGCTGTCAGGAGTGGGTTTGCGGGGTGGGCTTTGGGGGAAGGCTTACCCCAGGTAAGTCCTTTTGCTTGCAGAGTCCTCCCAGTATCCTCTGGGTCCTCTGGATGGCACTGCAACTCGACACATTGATGAGGGATTCCAGGGCTGCACAGTACTGTGGGGACAGGAACACAGACATGTCAGGCCCTGCTCCAGTGACTGCTTTTAGTGCAGGACGCTGGCTACTGAGAGGCCTGGTGCAGGTGGTCTGAGTTTTCAGGAAGGGCCCAGATTTTGAGGGGTGAGAAGAGAGCTTTTGAAGCTTTCTTGGAATCTCCCAGACATGTGAGGGAAGATCAGAGCAGACAAGTCCAAGGCTTCCAGCCTCTGCTCCCTCCTCCCCAGTGCCCATAGGTCCTTACTATGTCAGTTGTCAGGTTGACGCTCCACACCATGCTTCCATTGCAGAGGGGTGCCTGAGGGAGCAAAGAGGCAGTGAGTGAGCAGAGTACCAGCCAGAGTCACAGGCCTGCCCAGCCAGCTCAAGCCAGGTCTACACAAGCATAGACCCCACAACACTCCTAGGCTTCATTTCCTGCTCTGCACAGCGGGACCCATTGTATAGGGTCTTGGAGCTAAGGGACAAAAAGTAAGTGACACCACTGGTAAGGGACAAGCCTATTCAAAGTTTGCCTTAGCCAGGGAAGGAGGACAGGGGCCTGCAGGAAGTGCCAGGTGGGGTTGGGTGAGAGAGGGGTGGCCTGGGATGCTGTTGGCCAAGACAATCAGATGTGGGGCGCTGGGAGTCTGGCATATTAAATACCCTGCCTTCTGCTGTGGGGGATACTGCAGGTAGGAGATGGACAGGTCTGGTTTGAATCTGGCTTCTATCAAAGAATCTCACTGCACTGTAGTCAGAAGAGTGGGGTCATCAAACCTGCCTCTTGAGGGGTGGGCAGGGGTGAAATGTCAGGTAAAGTAACAGCACCAGGCCTGGGATATAATCAGTGCTTGGAAAGTGTGAGCTGGTACTAGTAGGGAGAGGAGCTGACTCTCCTGATGATCCTGCCATAAGAATGGGCTTAATGCCAGGCC